GACATTTACCTGGCTTGATGGGGAAGCCCAACAAGTAAGTGTCATCTTTTGTTTGTCTGGCATGTCAATGTTTTCCAAGTTTAGTTGTAGTTGAGTTCACATTTGTAGTAGTGAATGGATTAATTAATTTGAGGGTCATGTATGTGATGTGTATGGTACTTGGTAGTAATTTATTCTGAAATTTTATTCTCTGGCGAACTTAGTTGGGATCACTATTGGCATTGGAAGATTTTTGCCAAAGTGCCAGTATCTTAATCCAAATGGTGGCTAAGTTGGAAGAGGTGGTCAGTGATTATTGCTGTTATAAATTCTGACAGTGTTATACTGCCATAAAATGATGTGAAATTATTTACATTACAAATCATTCAATCTAATAGCAGGATAAATTCTGAAACATTAAATGCTAAAACCACATGTGACCTTTGGCCTGAAAATGCAGGGTATCAAAAAACATCGTCACAACTTCCTTATGCGCTATACTCTCGTGCTGTAAGCAGCTGAGAATTTCTACTTGAAACTTTTGGAAATGTCCAAGAATCTGATTGCATTCATAATCCTTTTGACATCTGAATATGATTTTTTGAGAAGATTATAGAGGCCTGTCACTGATTTGGAATTTTAGGATGTAATTCTCATTTTTATGGCTCTTCTTTTCCTTTCGCTAAAAAAAAAAAAAATTCTAGTACTTTTTAATAATCTTTCAAAATATGTGTTATTAATCTTAGAAAGTTATTGTATGATTTGAGCCACAAATCCTACAATATGTCATGTTTATACAAATATATTGTGTATTTAAAATATGTATTGAGGCTAGCTTCGAGGCGAGGCTAAGGTAAAATGCATTGAGTTCTTTTTATTATTTTTGGGCGAAACTCTCCAAAGACTTGCACATCACAGTTTGAGGCGTGCAACACGTGTGCACCTTGTACTCCTTTTGCACATAAATATGAGGAGCTGTGTTACATGATTCTTCTATTTCCCCCACAGTACCTGTGTCCACTGGATATGACATTGGTAAGGGTGTGAGATATGTGTCCGACACTTGTACCCAATTTAGGCACTCAGATGCTTTAATTTGTGACAATACATGAAGAAGAAGAAACTCACATTTGTTAGTAAAGTAATATTTTTAGCCTCTCACATGAATTAGATATAGAAATTTCATATTTTTCCTATATCTTATTTAATTTCTAGTATATTTCTACACAATTTATCACATCTCATCTGAGAATATTATATAAAATATAATATGTGCATATAACATGTCCTAGTGCCCATATCCCAATTTTGGATACGTATCCCAAGATTTAAATTTATGAAGGTCTGATGTTTGGATACACACCTGCACCCGATACTCGTATGTCAGTCCCAGGTAACAATACGTATACGGAGAGCTTGTCTTGGGTTGTTGTTAAGCTTATTATAATACCTAGTTTTTTTTTTCTTTTCTTCTAATACCTAGTTTATATTTAAACATAAAAAAGAAGAGTCTTCTGTAACCATCATATTCCATGGAAAAAACCAAGAAAAATATAAAGCAAAGACTCAAGTAAGAAGTTCAATAGCTGAAACTAAGAATGTCAAGTTCATCTTCGATGAGGGCAAGTTTCCTATTCTGTAATGAAATGTTCAACGCCTAGAGGAGAAAAGTATTTATACATTTATATTTAATTTTGAATAAAATTAAAATTAATGTGTACTAATTGGACGTTGTTTTTTTTATTTAGTTTTAAATAACTTTTTCTCACTAAATATAAAAATTTGAAATTTGAAATGCATATGTGTTGATGCCTTGAGGCTTGCGCATTCACATTTGAAGGCTTTGGTATATACATATTTAGCCATGGCTTGTCTAGTGCAAAGCATGTACACCTCAATTGTTTGGTGTAGTAGATTATGTTCTCCATGTGAGACATGGCCAATTAAAAGTATTCATCATTCATTGTTATCCTATATGAGTTCCAAACCAACTTTTGGAACTCATAATTGTTTTGTTTTTGTCTTCAGCGATTTTTTTTTCCTTCATATTTTAGTTTTTAGTTTTTATTTTTTATAGATCTGCCTAATTAGACACACTTAAAATTTAAAATATTTGAAAAAAAATCTGAAAAATGTTAAAAGACAATTTCATATTTTTTTATAAATATTTTATTTTTTAAGTACATCTAGATTAGGTGCATCTAAAAAGTAAAAAATAAAATAAAATAAAATATGAAAAAAGTTCACTAAAGACCCCCCCTCCCCCTCAAATTTTTTTTTTTTAGAAAAACAAAAGACTCAAAAGCTATTCATAAATTAAACCAAAGTAAGGTGAAAGTTTTTCATTATGCTTCTTGGTCATTTTAAAAACTTTGCAGGTTATCTTTGACAAAAAATTTGTACTTTTGTCAGTTGATTCTATTTTGTGGATCGAGCTATATGTACAGGGAAATGTGATTCATCTCAAAGAATGAAATACAAAGAACTATAGGAAGTACATAGAATGAATTTCGATGATCAAGCCATATGTAGGAAGAATGTGATTCCTCTCCAGCTATACAAATAATACTATTCTATAGGTCAAGCTATGTAGTGTAGGAAACAGAATGTGATTCCTCTCACAGAAGGTGTTATATAATAAAAATAAACTAAAGTTCACCAGGTTGCGTATACGAGGCATGTATTGCAATGGTGAAAATTATTCATAAACTCCAATAGTAATTGTGTAAGACGTCATCGCAGCTGCATGGTACATATGATTAGAGGTTGTTTGCTTCTGCTTTATTCAGTTGAAGGAATGATCTTTCCATCTCTCCACTGTTATTCCTAGAACCATTTGTAGGTTTTTTTCTTTTTTATGTAGAAGTATGTGTGCTTACTATTATGGATTATAATATTTTAATTAATAACGATCATGATGGACTAGTCTACGCTGGAACATTTAACAAATGATCTTTTGCAACTGTATTAGTCACTAAATTTCTCTTCTTCTCCAGCGATATTGTTTTTTCTGCACTCAAACAGAGAACAACTATGAAACATGTGGACCTAGGAGGGACATAATGGATATACCGCAGTTAATTATTGTACGTTACAAAAGGAATGCTACAAAAGATAGTAATAAAATTGAGGAAAAAAAGCCAAAAAACATATTGGAGGCATTTCTGAATGATGATGTGAATCCTGCATCACAACTTGTTGCGAGGTACAATGGTTCTGAAGAAAGTTCAGAGGTTTAGCCTTCTATCTGTTGTGAGATGGATTTTACTACATGGTTTAATTATTGAGTTATATTTCACTCTGTATTGAGCAGTTAACGCAAATGCAACATTCTTTGTGATTTAGTTTACCTTTTCACGTTGAGTTGTTTCTATTTATTTGGTTGGCAGATCATCAAGTGGATCTCTTAGATAATCGAAGATGGTGACTCTAGTTGAAGATGGTGACTCTAGGGAGCTCCCCTTTTTTGTAAGTTAGCATAGACAAACTTTTTTTAGAATTAAGCTTCCTTTTGGTGCTTGAATGGATGAATTTGTGTATTTTGATGAGGGGTTTAATTACCTTCACTCCATTATTGATACTTAAGAAGCACGAACATGTGACATGACATTGACACACCGACACACGGACATGTAAATTTTCAAAAAATGTAGGACACGACATGTTGGGGACTTCTGCAAAATATATAATTTATTTATGTATTTATCAAATGTACGTCATATATAAGGATAAATAATTATTATGCCTTATATATAAATATTTAAGTAAAAGATATTCATTTTTGAAGTATAAAGGAGGAGAATAGGTATAAATTTACTTAATTTTTGTTGTATCATTGGATTCCAAGTTATTTATTCAAACTCGTAATATGTTTCATGTATTGGAAAGTGTCCAACTATGAAGCACGGGTACTCTGAAAATATTGTCATACTCATAACGGGTATTGGTACGCGTACCGTTAGGGTTGTTTGCGTATCGGGTACATGAAATACGTATCGGGTAGTTTTTATACATTTTAGGGCAGGTGGGTACTTCATAGGTACATGATGGGTACATCGGGGGTACACCAAGCTATGGGACATTGATAGTGATACATTTAATTTATTAGGGAGTTATGATTTATTTGAAATTGCAAATCTTTTTCTTGATGTGTCAAAGATGAATTAAAGTCGATGGAAATGAAAATTGATTTTTCAACTTTCCAAATTTTTCTAATTTGCTTTTGGAATGAAACTTAATTTTGTAATTTTTCCTATTCAATGGCATTAAAATAGCATAAGGCTATGAAGCACGGACACGGACACGGGACATGGCAATTTTCAAAAAATGGGGACACGGACACGGCGGGGGACACAGCGAATTTATTTTATTTATTTTTATGTGTTATGTAGATTCATATTACATTCATCCTAAATTAAAATTAACAAACACTAACATAGTAACATTAATTGAATAAACATAACCATTACATTTAAACAAATTAATATATCATCTATTCACAAAAAAGTCATAATCAACGATAACAAGAACTAAGACGAGAAGGGAAAAACATTCAACATCCAACAATATTTTTCACAAAAGCACTAAATAAGAGGCAAAAGATTAAAAAATAAATAAATAAATAAAAAATAGCCCTGCCGTGTCCCATGCCATGTCCCCGTTGTGTCCCATGCCGTGTCCCCATATGGACACGCTTGTCCCCGCCGTGTCCTTGCCGTGTCCCCTACAAAAAAATCATTAAATTAAAGGGACACGCTATCTGGCGTGTCCCGTACGTGTCCCCGGCGTGTCCCCCGGCGTGTCCCCGTGTCGGACACCGCCACGGCACTGATTTTGGAGTATCCATGCTTCATAGGCATAAGGACTTTGCTTTGATACTGGTATTGTTAAACTGTGATTTCTCTTTTGGTTTTGTAATTTTCCTTTTAGTTTTGGTATTGAACTTTGATTTGTAGATTGAATCTCAAACAATAAACTATGAAAAATAAAAAAATTTGTTGACATACCACAACCGTACCCGTACCCGTACCCGTATCCTTTTTTTTTTTGGAGAGGTTTTGCCGTATTAGCGTACTCGTACCAGTATCCATACCCACACCCGTGCTACATAGGTATTCGATGAGTGTCGGACACGGCACTTTACGTTCTTAGAAGTGTCCATGCTTCTTAGATTGATACTCATTGAACTTTGTGGTTTTTTTTAAGGATGTATACACTCTGGAGCTTAGAGTTGCTTCTCTTTCATACGAGATGTTGCCTGCTAAAACCTTTTTTGTTTTGTCTCATCGCAGAGAGCAAAAACTCCTGCACTTGTTCCCGAAGATGCAGATCCTATTTGGTCAGTAGGTGCCAAAACCATTCTATCCAAAGGGACATGAATGAAACAGAGAATTGGTAACATCATGAATGGAATCCACAATCGACTGGGAGATCCAAGGATCGGCCCAGTCTTACTCTTGGGAGCATTGATGTCTTTTGGTGGCATCTGGCTGCGAAGGAGCCAATCAACTCATCCAAGTCAATCAAATAATCAAACTCAACTGAGCAAAAAAGTAAGTCATGGCAGATTGTGCTCCTGAGAGCATTGTTATTGTTATTTTTTGTTCCAGCTATTATCTTCATCTCCAATCCAATGTAATTTCATTGATATTCTTCTGACTCATGATTATTCCTTTCTTTTATTTCCCTTTTCTACTTTTCAGCATCATTGTTTTCCTTGTAATTACTTTTTATATATGTAATGTCTTGGCTGCATTTTATCGTTCTTTGTCTTGGCTGCTTTACCTTTCTTATCTGGAAAAGGAAGCACATATGTGATTGTATCACTAAGTTATAAAATTTTAGTGAAAAATTCTCATGAAGATTATGAGGAGATATGTAAAATTTTAGTAGGTTAATTCCTATAAAAGAAAATTTTCAAGTATAGATTAATATATTGTTCAAAACTTAACGGACTCTTGAGGTTAATTTCATATTCCTCCCTGAGATTTTGTGATGACTAAAAAAATAAAATAAAAAATAAATAAATAAAAGAAGGGAATATATGCATGATGATGTTTCGGTGGTGGTAATAAAATAAACAAAAGATGGAATAAAGATTATGATGATGTGTGTGGGTGGACAGCATTTGTTAAAGCTAAAGAAGACACATGGGGTGGGGCTATTAAAAATAATACTAATCTCTCTCTCTCTCTCTCTCTGTCAAACCCACATTTATTTTTTTATCATCACCCGAATATCTTGTATCTCCAAACAGCTCTTTGCTTGCTGGGTTCTTTTCAAATTGAATCTTTTCCTTCTTCATCACTCTCGAATCTCTCAAAACCTTGAAAAAAAAAGAGAAAAGGATTCGTCTGCATTTTAAACCCTAGACAGAGGCCTTTTTCACGAGATGCTGATTAATGGGTAGAAGAGATTTGTAGGTTTTGGAGGTCAAAAAAAAGAATGGGGTTTTTTTTTTTTTCTCAAGTTCTTGATTGGGGCTTCAATGGGGTCTCCCAGAGGGTTCTTTCCACCCAGGAGTCTTATTTGCTAGTGTTGGACACGTGGGTAATATGAGTTTTGGCATTTAACCTAATTCACCAAATTCTCGAGACAACAATGGTGGATTCAAGGTACCTTACACAGATTTATATGTCAAATATGTATCTTCCCCAGAAGGTTTTCGAATTGTTGGTGTTCCAGAATTGATAGATGAGGAAGGGGTCGGACTAAACTTAAAATCGAGATTGCAAATCTTTCATTGAGGAGGTTGATAAGCGGGGTTGGAGGCAATTAGGACACATTTGATGGTTGGGAGTAGTGGCAATACTACTACTGAAGTGTTCCATAATATTACGAAAACTGATGGATGGAAAGGATTGTTTAGAGGCAATCTTGTTAATGTGATTCGGGTTGCACCAAGCAAAGCTATAGAGCATGTGCGGGAACATCACTGGAATCGCATATCTATTCTAGATATTGAAACTACTGTCAACAGCAGGTCAGCTGTACCTTACTCGTGGGCAGAGATCATGTTTCTGTTAGAGAAACTCGGGGATGATAAAATTATGATACACGAGGATACAATGTATATTCTTTGAAAAAATTCAAGTGGAGCCATCCTTAATTCAGTGTGTATTCTTGTTATTTTCTGAAGGACTGTTTGGGACTTGGATAGTCATTAATTGAAGAAACGTAAACAAACATCAATGGTCTGTTTTTCTCCCTGCGGCTGTGTATGCTAGTTTTTGGCACTTAATTTTGTCAGAGAACGAAATTGAGTAGGGATATTGATAGTTGAAGAATTAGATGTTTAATTCAGAAATTGTGACTCTTTAAGCTTTTAAAAAGAAGTACCATTTCTCAATCCATATTCGAGCTACTCTAATTTCATTCTTTGTGAGGTTACATCGGGAATGGATGCTATGAAATTGAAGTTCTTGAGGCCGAAGTGAAGAGCTTGGTGAGAGCAACGTGTTGACAGGTGGAGATCGGAACCCAACAAGTCGAAAATTGAGGTTTTTGCTTGTTTCCTCGTCAAACTTGAGGTAGGGATTTTCTACACTCTAATATGACTTTTAGCTTAGTTATTTGCTATTGTGTATAGATGATGAGATTTGGTTGTGGTTTGGACAAATCTAAGATTTGGATGTGAAATGAAAAGAGGGTTTTTGATGAATATGAGGTAAATGAGTATGGGGTTTGAATATAAGATCTTGGTGTATCAAAATAGTTGATTTTGGGTGTTTGGGTCAATATTGGAAAAATGGGGATTTTTGCCATAACTTGATAAAATGATTATTTTGTATAAATAATTGGAATTAACATTTAATATGTTAAATTGAATGGTTATTGATGTAGGTGGTGAAATTGGATATGTATTATCTCACAGCTTTGGAAATTTTAAATAATTATTTATCTTGAGATTTAATATTTGTCTAGAGATAAATGTATTGGGCTATCGGTGGAGAATAGTCATGATTGTTGTAGAAATTGTATGAGGACTAGACGATTTAATGCTAATCTATTGTTGATTGTCATTGAATATGACCATACTATAAATACATTGTATATGTATGTTTATTGGGAGGAGATAGGGGATGTACTCCATATGTGATTTTGTTTATAAATACAATGCGTATGTATATTTGTTTGGGAGGAGAAAGGGGATGGACTCCATTTAAAGCAAGTTGGCCAGAGTGTTCTGGGTGAAAGACCCTGAATTTTATATATAAATGGGTGCCGATTCCTTTGGACGAAATATCCGTAAAATGGCAAGTTTGAAGGGTTTATGTGTGTTTTGCATAAATGGAAAAACTATTGAGTTGTAATCTCATATTGGTTGTTGAAAGATAAAGAATTTAACTCATGAATTGAGTAGTGCATATGAATTGGAAATGAATTGAAAGAAAATGGAATAAGATTGATCTGAGTGGCATATGAATATGCAGGCCTTGTGAATACTTCCGTATCGGTATTGTTTATATACGTGGTATTTATACCTTTGCTAAACCTTATATATTGTGTTAGATTATTTCTACTAGGCTGTTGGCTCACCCTATACAGGAATATCATTTTCAGGTGCAAGTGAAATATTTCCTCAAAGGCAATAGCATGGGTGGACGTTTGGGAAGCAAGGGCTTCTTATTTATGCCTTATGTGTGTATGTTTGTTATTTGTAAAGCCGAGGGCTTAAGATGTAATGAGTGGGACTCAATATGTGTAACTAAGCAATGACTTGGAAAGTTATAAGCCTACATGGCATTTAACTGTTTGTTAAACAGTAAACTCTGATGTATGAAAGTATGTTGTTTCTCATATTTAAATCCGCATATGAGTTATCTTTATAGTATTATTTTGGGGGCATTACAGATTTGGCAAGATGATATCTAGCACCCAAAACTTTCTGAGTAGGAAGGGTTGGACATGGGTGTTTCCATTGAGTCTCGTTAAAATATTAAGGCTGTGTTTAGATTATAGAATTGAAGAGAGAAAGAGAAAAAAGTGGGTGAAAATAAGTGAAATGTAATTATATTTCATGTACATTTTATCGAGTTTTTTATTGTCTTTTCTAAATACCACTTAAGTTCATGATCTAAATACAGTTTAAAAAAATAAATATCCTCCTTTCATGATCTTAACCAAAATGTCCACATGTAACAAATTGTTTTTACATTTGAAATTTTGATTTACTACGTTCAATTGAGTGCTAATTTATCTGTTAGAAGGGTCATATGGCATATGCATTGCATGTGCATTGGTAATTCAAAAAATATAAAAATTTTCGTTTAGTTCTTTAATGATATTCTCTTTAAAACACATGAGCATAGGACGAAATAAAACAAAAAAGAAAAAGACACTATACATAACAAAAGTTTGTACTTGATAGTAAGCGTGATACCTCTTTTTATCGAAATTTTTTTAGCAACCAATGCTAATTTTGCATTTTATCCCTCTAGTTTAAAATTTTCTATTTGATGTCAATAGACAGTGAAATTTCTTTCTAATCTACAAACAATGAAATATGGTTTTTCATTTTGTAGCACTTAATTTTGGATTTTTAATTTTTAATATGAAATAGATAATAAAAATTTCATTGTTCGAAAAATAAATAACATTTTCTTTAATATTGCATATTCAATACGAACTCTTACTAAATGGATTTTGATGAGAGTATTCCAAAAATTACTTTCAAAAAATAAAATTTTAAATCAAAAATTAGTATTTAAAAGTTTAAAAAATAAAATTATTTATTCAGTAATTGGGTTGGGTTTGTTGCATGTGTCGTTCTCCTCACAATAAAACTTATGGGCTCGTTTGTTTTCTTATAAAAAAATCTTATTGTAGGGGATCTATTATAAAAAATCTCAGCTTTTATTACTCAAGTCTCGTATTAATTTTTTTTATGGATATGAACCAATGGAGGGGCCAGTTTGGTTTGAATTGATATTAAATTTAAAACATACTTAAATGAATCGTGCACTTGAACCAAATAATTAAAATAAACAAGTCTTTAATATTTAAATTTAACACAAACATAAAATAAATATTGTTTAATACAAGCTAACAGTTGTGAATAGTATAGTGAAGTCCAACTCAAGTTTAAATACAACCAAAATAAATCAAATCCAGTAACACAACTAATAAAATAAAATTAAGTACTGTAAATTCCAACTCTACCTTCCAGTATTTTCTTCTTCCACTTCCCATTCTTCTTCTTATGCTTCTCAATATCAACTGAAAATCAAAATAAATAGTGAGAAATGATTAGTTGTAATCAAGTTCATTAGAAAAGACCAATTACGTAAAAACATGCCGATATAGATTGAATCTTATAATATAAATAAATATATAGATTTGGTTATCAGGTTTGTTCGAGATAGATAGAACCTAAACAAAAAATTAATCCAAAAATTGAAGACTCAAAACTAAACCAATGTATTCAAAAAAAAAACTAGGCCAACCCAATAATTTCGGTTTGGTTTAGTTTTTTTGATTCTATGATAATTTGTCCACCCCTAAACCAATATGAAGGCAAAAAAGCAAAGAGAGATATATGTATTAACAAATTTTATGATGAGAATTAATGAGGGGGATGTGAAAGAAACGATAAGAGACCCAATAGTTGTTTCGTCTCTTGTGAAAGAAAGGATTATCCAGAATTAAGAAATTTACCAAATGTCGAGGGAAGACACATGTTGCACTTTGTAAAACTCTTCTCCTTCTTCACCATTGACCCTTCGAAGCTTGTTATTGAAATTTTCGCTCATATCCTTTGTTGTAAATCGTTGGAGGGTCGCAATGAATCTCAGTCCCTCTGGAACCATTTCTAGTCCTCGGCAAAAAACAATTTCTAAAGCAGAGAGATTGGGCATGGCTCCTTTTTCCACCTCCCACTCCTTTAAGTGCTCCAAATTAAAGAGACGTAGGGTTTTGAGTTGGGGTAAACCATTAGCGGAGCAAACCATTTTGTCCCCCACAAAGGCACAATTACCTAAATAGAGATATTGTAGGTTAGGTAGCCTCTCCAATGTTGGCATAGGGTCTTCTTCAAGTTCACATCCCACCAACGTTAACTCGATGAGGTTGGGAGAGAAACCCTGGCAGTACTCTGGTAACTCGGGAATAATTCCACGAATACTCAATCTGTAAAGATGGTGACACCCTAAGAGTTGTTTGAGAAGAGTCAAGTCTTCTTCTTCTTCTTTGCAAAATTCAACAATTGATAAGGATGTTTGTCGGAGGTGGTCGGCACTGACGCTTAGGTAGTTGATGAAAGCCGCTAAGTCCTGATTGTGCATCTTCCAGAAAATTGCATCTTCTAGTTGCCGAAGATTGATCAATTTACACAGATCATTGACATCACAAGACCCTGTGTTAAACCCTCCTAATGTTTCGAGGTTGCTCAACCCATCAAATTTTAATTTAACATTGAAATTCAATGGAATATACAAATGCCTCAATTGTTCCATTCCATGTATGACTATTACTTCACCTGAGTTGAACTTGCAAAATTGTAAATCCAAGGTTTGCAGGTGTTTCAACTTGCAGATAGATGAATGCCATTTCGGTATCAAACAACCTCTAAACCTCAAGTACCTCAAGCTAATTAGGTTTCCTATTGATTCGACTGACTTTTCATCAAACTTAAATTCTTCAAGATCCAAATTCCTAAGCAATTTGAAGTATTTCAAATGGGAGTTCAACTCTATTGAAGACTCCTCGTGGACACTCCTTGAATTGCAGAACAATATGGATTTTAGATGTTTAGTTGTCTCCAATTCAGAGAGGACAACTCTTTTGACATCCCTATTCAAATGAATTGCAAGTTTGCGTATTTTAGGAGCAGTAGTTGTTGATGTGGTGGAAAAGCAATTAGCTAGATCAGTTTCGCGTTGGAGATGAATGATCCCGAGAAAATCATTCATTTTTGCCTTTGATAAACACAACTCCAACATAAGGTCATGAATGCGGCAATAATTGATCCTTTGAGTATACTCCTCTACTTCTACTTGAACCATGCACCTTTGTGCAAGCGCACCCAAGTAACGTTTTGCCACATCCATTATTGTTTCATCTCCCACTCTATCATCATCTACAATTATACCGTCACCTATCCACAAGTGATATAGTCTTTCAGGACTTATCCCATAATCCTCTGGAAAGTGACCAAAATATAGAAAACATGGCTTCAATTGATAAGGCAAGTCATGGTAGCTTAAAGCCAACACCTTTGATACTACATTGTCATGTTGTATGGGGTCGTCATTCCATTTATGCGAACGGACATTTTGGTATACAACCTCCCATTCCCTTAATGTATGCTTTGTTGCCAAAAGTCCACCAAGCACAATGATTGCTAACGGTAAACCAGCACACAGCTTTACCATTTTCCTCCCCATTGCCTCCATATTTGTGTCAAGCACTCCAGAGTCTACGAAAATAACAAAATGCAAATTTAAAAACAACAAAAATAGATTATTGTCTAGAGTCTATAAAAAAATGAAAATTCTAATGAATGCATGCGTGAATAAGCAATAAAAAATGAAAATTTGCCGACTTTTTTGAGACCCAAATCAAGTTTTTTAACATGGGACTCTTATACATATATAGATAGATACTTCTAAAGCGAGCTTGTAATATGGATTGATTTTTAAACTTTTTTTTTTTTGTGCAAAATAAAATCGGTTGGTAATTTAAATTTTATTTAAAATTTTTCAACTTTCGTATTCTCCAGTATAAAACTCAAATTAGTAGTTGTAAAATTACTAAGGCTTTGTTTGGGAAGAAGGGTTGGGTTGGGTTGGGTTTGGGGCTATTTTAGCCACAAAAAGGCAAAATAGGTTTTTTAGCTCAATAAGACAAAACATCATATCCAACCTGTAATCATTACATTAGTTCTCTCACAAAAAGTCAAAAAAGCTAAAAAAACCCTTCCCAAATGAGGGTTTTTAAACCCAGGCTAAAATAATTAAAAATTCAAAGAGCCAAGAGGCCAACCCACTTTCCAAACGAACCCTAATCAAACTTGCATAATTCAATTTAACAATCAAATCCATTGAATCATTCTTGTGACAAAGTTGACCAAAGGTAAGATTTAATCAATTTCAATCTTAGAAAATTTATTTCTTCAGAAACAACTATCACAGGGATAGTCAATAACATTCTATACACAAACCATATATTTGGAAAATAATCACCCGTTAATTTTAAATAATTTACTACATCAACAAGTTTTTTGTTTCTATTTAAGGGATGGTTTTTTTTCAACCAAATTTTGGGGTCCAAAACAGCCGCGCCCTCAACTTTGCCTCAAAGTCAGCACTGTTTACATTGATACTTGCATCTTTTCAATCAAAAGTTCTATATCAACAAAGAAGAAAATGCTCAAATTCATGCATGCATTTGGTGCAAAGAGAGTGATGTTAAGGAGCCAAGAAGTAAACTATGGCCCCGTTTGAGAATTTATTATTTTAATTAATTTTTAATTTTTTACAAAAAGATGAATAAAAAAAATAAAAAGAGTGATGTATGTACCCCTAACCTTCCTTTTAGATTCCATTCTTCAAGCTAGTATTACAAAGTTATCATACATGACTTACGTCATTCAAATTTTAATCAATAATTAGTGACTAGTCTTGGAGTATTATGTGTCATTGTCAACATGGTGTTTCATATTAATTGCATAGCAAAAACTTTTATGAACGGAACATGTTAACTCATCTTTGTGGGGATAGTTAAGAGACAAATGATGACTATTTAGTTTTTATTGCGGTTTCTCATTGACCGAGAGTATATCATGTAGACAA